AAACAAAGTGAGATTGAAGCTTCAAAAAAATTCAAAGGTATTCTTAAATATAATGAATTATTTTGTATGTTACTCTTGTTTCATTTTAGAGCTAATGAAATATTAACTGATATAGGAGATAAAGAAAAAAAAGTTATAGATGAAGAAGAGTTTGAGGATGACTTTGACATTAATTATGAAGATTCTTCTAAAAACAATCAAAGTGATGATGAACTTGCTTTGAGTCTTGATCGTAAGGGGATGTTTTATTTTTAAGTGAGTTTATTTTAAATCTTGTATTCCAGTAATATTATCTTAAAATAAATCTTCAAATTCATAGTTGACATAATATTTTGTTATTTTTTGTCATTATTTATAATTTTAAATTAATTTATTTTAATCGTTCTGAGGCTTACTCCTCGAGGCTTACGCCTCGCCTCGTCTCATTTAGAAAAAACGCCTCGATTCCCAATTTCGCCTTTTAAAATCTTGCTTTTAACTGCAGCTTATCTCATAAACCGATTACCTTCATCAGCTTCAGTTATTTTTTGTCATTATTTATAATTTTAAATTAATTTATTTTAATCGTTCTGAGGCTTACTCCTCGAGGCTTACGCCTCGCCTCGTCTCATTTAGAAAAAACGCCTCGATTCCCAATTTCGCCTTTTAAAATCTTGCTTTTAACTGCAGCTTATCTCATAAACCGATTACCTTCATCAGCTTCAGGCCTTAAAACTCCAATGGAGACCTTGTCCTCTTTTTACCCAGAGTTTTGAACCCATCATAATCTGGCACCCAAAATCTTTGGATGTACTGCCTATGTTCATATTCACAGCCATGAGCAAAGAAAATTAGATCCAATAGCACTCAAATGCATCTTTGTTGGCTATTCAGCTACCCAAAAATGTTATAAGTGTTATCATCCACCCACAAGAAAAACCTTTATCTCTATTGATGTTACCTTTGATGAGAAAAATTCCTATTTCTCAAAAACTCATCTTCAGGGGGAGATTGGACTTGAGGAAGATGAGGAAAATGAACTAGCACATCTTGACATTCCTCCACCACCTCAAAAGAATCCACCTGAAACCCAAGATAGGGAAATAAATGACAAAGCTATTATTAGATTTGGAAAAGTTTACTCCAGACATACAAGTTCAAGCTGTGCTCCAAAGCAGATCCAAGAATCTAAACCATCTCCTGGAAATAAGGTAAGCTCACCTCCTTTCTTATACCCTATAAATAACTCTATATCCTTCAACAACTTCTCATCGTCACACAAAAATTTTCTTGTTATATTAGAAGATATCCATATTCCTAAAGATATTTCTGAGGCCTTATCTGATAAAAATTGGAAAAATGCCATGAAGGATGAAATGCAGGCCCTGAAGAAGAACAAAACATGGGAGATCATCATTCTACCGATAGGGAAAAATAGTTCGGCTGCAAATGGGTGTTCTCAGTGAAATATAAAGCTGATGGCACACTAGAGAGATATAAGACAAGACTGGTGGCAAAAGGGTTCACTCAAACATATGACATTGACTACCAATAAACGTTTGCGCCTGTAGCCAAAATGAATACTGTCCGAATACTACTCTCACTAGAAGCAAAATACAACTGGCATCTGGAACAATTGGATGTGAAAAATGCATTCCTACATGGGGATTTAGAAGAAGAGATATTTATGGAAATACCACCAGGGTTTAAAGAAAAATCTGAAGGTAACAAGGTGTGCAAACTGAAAAAAGCTCTATATGGGCTCAAACAATCACCAAGGGCCTGGTTCGGAAGATTCTCTAAATTCATGCTCCTAAATGGGTATTGACAGAGTCAAGGGGATTATACATTATTCTTCAAACATTCAGACTCAGGGGGAGTCACAATTTATTAGTGTATGTTGATGACATTATTTTGACTGGAGATAATGAAGAGGAGAAAGCCAGTTTAAGGAAAAATCTTACTAAGGAGTTTGCATCAAAGAACTTGATAGACTAAAATACTTCCTCGTAATTGAAGTAGCTCACTCCAGCAAAGGAATCTTCATTTCACAACAGAAATACATCAAAGATCTTCTAAAAGAAATAGGTAAACTAACTCAACACCAGTAGAACCTAATCTTAAACTGGGGAAACCTAAAGAAGATCCAGATGTAGATAAAGGGACCTATCAGAGACTTGTAGGGAAATTGATCTACCTCTCCCACACTAGACCAGATATAGCATTTGCTGTAATGCTATGGCGTCAGTCCGTTTATCTCTATGAATATCCCAAAGAGCAGGAATTCACATGTAAGCGGTAGACAGGATATTGAACTACCTAAAAGGAAGACCAGAAAAAGGAATTCTCTTTAAGAGAGATCAAGGAATAACCTTAGAAGTATATAAGGATGCTGACTACGCAGGATCACCGGTTGATAGAAGATCTACCTCTGGGTATTGCACATTGCTTGGAGGTAACTTAGTTACATGGAGAAGGAAGAAACAGAATGTGGTGGCAAGATCTATTGTAGAAGCAGAATATTGAGCTATGACCTTGGGAATATGTGAGCTACTTTGTATTAAAATAATCCTAGAAGACCTAAAGGTTAAGTGGGATGACCCCATGAAGCTACATTGTGACAACAAATCAGCATAGCCCACAATCCAGTCCAACATGATAGGACCAAGCATATAGAAGTGGACAGACATTTTATTAAAGAAAAACTAGACAGTAGTCTAGTAAGTGTCGACCATGTATCATCAAAGGATCAACTTGCAGATATCCTTACTAAAGGATTGGACAGTTCTGCCTTTCTCAGAATGATTGACAAGCTGGGAATGATAGATCCATATTTCCCAGCTTGAGGGGGAGTTGAAATCCAGCCGTTCCCAGTGCAAAGGATCCGACGGACACAAGGATCAATCCGTGGGATACTCTCATGGATCACGCCATAATGAAGGAACGAATTTAGGAAAGATTTTTATGTATTATTTATGTAGTAAATCTGCAATTTTTTATTTCCTCATTAGGATATCTTGTATAGATCTATAAATAGGGAAGATTGTAATGAATAATTTCAAGCTTTTCCCTCTCAAATCCTCGTTTTAACAGAGTCATTTGTGTTAGTACATGTTTAGTAAGTTTTTTTTTGTTTTTAATCATTTATGACTGGTTTGGATCATTAATTTTTTTTTTTAGTTCAATAATTTTTAAGAAGGTTTTTTTTTTTTAATTAAACTGTCAAATATCTTGTAGTTAGATTAGAGTTGAAGATGAATTGAAATCCTATTTGTGGCCTTCTATTTCGCTTCCTTCCTATTCATCTCTTCGCCTCTCTGCATATGTGCAATTATTTCATCTATCTCTTTAACACCTTCTCTTTATCTCTTCAGTTTTTTTCTTACCAGATTTATTTGTGTATTTCCCCTGCCAATCTTTTTTATGAGCTTCGGTCCTTATTTTTCAGTAGCAGCCTTTATTTTCCTTCGGAAAGCCACATTGTTCACCAAAGTCATTTCTTCTACCCCAATTTAAATTCAGATATTTCAACCATGTTTGTTTGATTTTTCTCTGTTTAGACAGTTGCAGTAAGTTGCACCCAAATGATCTGATTTAAAAAAGAAAAAAAGATCTCACCCCCATGGTTGGATTAAAGTTCTTTTTGTTGGCTGTTATTTGAAAGTGAGGGAATCAAGCTATGAAGGACTCTCCTAGAGATGAATTGTACTAGATGGAGAACAAAAATGATATCAATCAATTGATTTTCATAACATCAAAATAGGGGTCTTCCTGTATTACAAGTCACACAAAAAATGCGTACTCTACCATTAAATTTACTTCCAGTGGAATATTCACATAACCACCGAAGGGACAACCAGTTATGTGTTATGTTGCTTATCTTCATCTTTTGGCTGTTCTTCAATGTCCTAGGATTTCCTCATCTTCAAATGAAATGTTTTTTTTTTTTGTGCAAATCAAATACTGCCAAATGTCACCAAAATTTAGGTTATAGATAAATGCCCTGAAATCTATCTGGTGCAAGTCATATCAAATACTGGAATCAAGCTATTTTTCTTTCTCCTTTCCATGCTCAATCTTCGGTCAACTGCTAAGATTCTGTTGCGCGTGCACGCTCCATCACTCTTTTATCTTTTTAATTTGTTATGAATCCTCACTGTGCTCTTTCATTTTGGTTTTAATGCCTGCTTGAGAATTATGTGTTTGTGCTTTCTCGCTTTCTTAAAATTGGTTTTTCATAAGATGTTTTTTAGGCTGATTTCTGCTCTCAGCCGAATGAGAAGAATTTTTATATTTTTGCAAGTAGGGCTCACTTGTCTATCATTCAACCAAAAGATGCAGTACCCTTTTTATAGGCTTTTAACTTTTCTGTGAATCTTAATATTGTGTTGCAAGGTTGGCATTGTTCAAGTGGCATTATAGCTTAGATTTGTTTACTTCATACAGGGTACATCAAGGGAGGAAATCTCGTCAAACTTCTAATTATCTGTTGCCTGCGGAGCAACTTCTGTGCATAGGCCATAGTCGGCAGCGACCTGTTTTAAAATGGGAGGATAACATAGCATGGCCTGGGAATCTGACATTGACAGATTCCACACTGTACTTTGAGGTACTCCCTTCCGTATTTCGTTTTCATATATCAAATATAGCTATTCCATTATGCAATTATTTTATTAGTTTTAGTTTATGTATTATTATTGTTATTATTATTTTTTTTAAATGAGGCTAAGGCTTGTTGCAGATTTATGTACCCCCTATTGTGAGTTGGATTGAGTTCAATGGTCCGAATTAGTGGCTCTCCTGAAGTAGGGAAGTTTACATATATTAGTGTTAACTTTTCCTTAGACCAACTTGTATAAGCCTCATGCATGCTGGGAGTTACAGTATAGAACAAGGTCCATATATACATGCAGCTTAGCTGTATGAAGACATGATGTATTTTCACTAACAAGAACACATGTAGCATTTATTTATGTTTTAATTGCTGTCAATTATTATTATTGCATGCAGGGAGTTACATTAAGATAAAATAATGATGTCTACGGTATAAACAGAAAAATTCTTAGTGCCAAACCTTGGAAAGAATTCTCTGTGCAATGTTCAGCATAAGAAGATTGAGAAAACCTTTTTTTTGAAGGAAGCAGAGGAGGCCAATTAAGAACGCTCGGCAAAACAGTTGTTAGTGTTTAGGAGTGTTACTGAAGTTCTTTCTTAGACATCGAGGGAGATTCTGGGCCCATTAGAAATACTGTACTGACCTTCATCATACATCTTTAGTGAATAAATGAATTGTAGAAAGAACTAGCCTGCTGAGTGTACTGAATGGGGTTTGTTAATCATTTTCCACGTTAGAACTTATGAAACCGTATATTTGACACAATATATTACCCTGGAAAGACTATAATTGTAGATTATTGATTTATAGAACAGGACGGATGGAAGTGGTTTCTCATTATTATGAGATATTTTGTCCTTGCATAATTTTTTTCTCTGTCATTTTACTTGTAAATAGGATTATTTATGCATAGAAGGAACACAAATTAATATAGAGAAGATTATATTTATTCTCTTTTTCTAACATGGTATTAGAGCATTCAATTTATTGAATTTTGCTTATTTTTTGCTCAATAATAATCTTCTCCCACTAAGCCATACGCAACCCTCCTTTTAAATGATCAGCTATAAATACACTAATATTTCCAACTTTAAATTGCAAACAACCCCTCTGTCATTTCTTTGTCCAATCTAGCTAGTTTTTGCTGTTGTAACAAACTCCTCTTTTTTTGCTTAACCTATAGTTGCACACAACCTACTTTGCTTCCTTATTCAGGCTTTTCCCATCCCTTGCGCAAACAACATTCACACACCCGTCACTTTAACGGTAATCTTTCATCTATTATTTCTCATGCTACCTACTCCCCTCCCTAGCCATGCATAGGTTGCAGTTATGATCTCTACACTCACATGATCTGTTATGCAACTCATTTTTCATCTACAACCTTTCCACGGCTTCTTATTAGCTGTCTTCTCACCATACATGTGAAACTTTCTGATGTAGAACGGGAAACGGCTTTGCTAGGGACAAATCTCCCCTCCGAATTTTGAGAACAATTTCAGTTTTTGTTTCCCAAAACCTGAGAGAGTTCGGATTCTGGGAAGGGGATGGGGAAGAAGTTCCAAAACCCTTTCAAAAATCTGAAATATGACTTCAGATTTTTATTCAAAATCTGAGAGAGATTCAGATTTTCAGTGCTTGGGAGAACAAGGTGTGGAGGGGTAACAGATGGTTTCACGTTGTGGTGGAGAACGACTGAAAGGGAGGCGTTGGAAGCAAGGGAGGTGGCTGCGGTTTTGGAGAGGGATAATAAGGTTCTGAATTGTTTCCAAGCAAGGATTTTCTTCAGGTTTTCTTATTCAAAACCTGAGAAAATTTTCAGCAGGTAATAAACAGAGGAAGGGAGATGGGTGGGATGTAGAGAGAATTGGGGAATTTTATTCCCTTATTCCACTCTCAGCTTAGGGAAGTAATTAATGGCTTGAGTTTTGAGTATCACGGCTGGTAGGAAAGAGGAAATATTTCCAAAGAAAAGTGATGGTTTTAGGAAAGAATTCCTAATCCCATCATTAAGGGGGCCGAATGCTTATGTAGGGAAAGAGGGGTTTAATGAGGTGATTTAAAGCTCTCAGATTTGAATTTAAAATTCAGTTGAATTTAGAATTCAAATGAATTTAAATTAAGAAGGAATTAATGGAATTGGATTAATGTTAGGGAATTAAGGAAAGAAATAATTAAATCCTTTTTGAATTTGAAATTCAAATAGGATTTAAAAATGGAAACTTTTCAAAGAGAGGTTATGAAGCAATTAGGAAATAACTCCTAATGGGCGCATAAAGGGGCCGGCGGCTTGCATGAATAAGGGGAGCATTGAATGTTGTGATTGAGGGCTTCTAAATTTGATTTTAGGAGTTAGGAAAGTAATGAAATAAATTCAATTTGAATTTCAAATTCAAATTGATTTAAATTAAATACTTTCCTAAAATAGGCAAACTAATTAGGAAATAAAATTTGAATTTCAAATTAAGTCCAAATGTCATTTGCCCCAAATTAGGAAACTCAAGAAGAAAGAGGGATGGGTGAAGCTGACGGCTAGGGAGCCATGGCCGGCGGTTGGTAGACTCTTCTGGTGAGGAGGCCGGCGGCTTATGGTGGAAAAGGAGACGACGATGGTGGATGTAGGTAAGGATGATGATGATGGCTATGAACAATAAGAAGGAACGAAACAAAACAAAGAAGAGATAAAAACGAAAGATACAGGATAAAAACCGCGAGCCTTGGACTCTTCTGAAGACTAACGGGTGATGCTTTGCCCTTCTCTAAGGGACTTCAATTCACGAGCCCGGACCCATTCTACGGCTGGTGAAAACTCTGATTCCTCCCATAGAAATCACAATTGTTGAACACAAATTTTAAGATCAATAATCCATCCCTATTACAATAGCTTAAGGCCCTATATATAGGCCACAACACAAGAAAACTAAAAATACAAAATTGCCCTTGGGCCACAACACTCACATAAACTAACCTAGGGGTAAAACAGGAAATACATCAAATAAGAACTAAAATTCAGAAAAAAAAAACTCATAAACGAAGATTTAAATAATAGCCGTCGATTTACGACGCCTCTTGTGATAGATGCGCCAAATCTTCGTACCAATGTCCGCATCACTTTCTACCATGTTGCTCTTTTATAATTACTTTGAAATCGCCATTCGGTTCTTGAAGCGGGTCAACGAGCAACTCTGAATACTTTCATACTATGATTTCCATAGTTCATTTGCGAGTTTGGATCACCAGTGGACCCTGGATGTTACCTAAGTTTGACCTGTGCGCAAGCTCCATTTCCTTCTTGGTGTGGTAAATTAGTTTCATGACTCAATAATGTAAGCCACTTGCTAGGCCATCATTGTGTGCTCTAATTCATCTCATCTATGCTCGTGACCTTGTTGATTGCTCTCTAGATGTCTTCACCGGATCATTATGTTGGCTCAACACCCTTGTAAGTTCTTTTTTAGGAAATAAAAATTCATTTTATTATGCTATGATTAAACCCTTTATATTAATAATGCTCTGGAGTCTACGTGGTCTCAATCTAGCTCATTTATGCTGACAATAAGATCCTTCATAATACTTAATATCCTTATTACTCTTATCAAATATTTTTTTTTGAATGTAAATATCATTATTTGCTTGACATTGCTCGGACCTTAATATTACATATCAATGAGCCTTGATAATTATGAGTTCATGCAATTGGGACTGCATTCTACCTTATGGATCATATATCTCATATTATTTTTGGTCATGCCAACTCCATTCTCTGTCAAGGGAAATCACCTTTTTGCATTATATAATATTTGGTTTTGTACACTATGTGCATTGTTTCAAACTAATAACAAACTCTCCTTAGGCCATCCAGTGTAGCTTATAGGATACTCTTATTCTTAGGAAGGTTAACATGTTATGATATGATTATCAAATGTATATATACTTTATTAGATCTTTTCTTTCATGTGTAGTTGCCACATTGTTCTCCGCCTTCTTCTTAACTACCCCCTGGACTTCTTCCTCTTCCTTTAGAAATATAAATAAATTTGTATATCCACCTCTACAGGTGCACACATGGCAACCTTCTTCTGCAGCAACACCTCATTCGCATATGCTTACATATTTATGGGATGTAAATTAGTCACATGGAATAGTACGAAACAAGCTTTAGTGTCATGTCAAGCTTTGAGACAAAATATAGAGCTAGAACATATTCTACACGTGAAGTGATCTTGGTTAAGACCCGGCTAGAGGAATTTGGTTCGTAATTGGTTAGCCCTTGGTCTTAATTGTGACAATCATGCTTCCATCAGCATTGCAAATAATCCCATGCTCTATGAAAGATCCAAACCCCTTGTAGTTGACTGTCACTTAGTTAAAGGATATGATGCTATCAAAGAAAATCTTTACTCATGATATTTGCTATTTAGATCAACTAGTTGATATATTTATCATGACTTTAGGTCAATTTTAGTTTTTTAAACTATAAAAGAAGTTAGAGCTAATTGATATGTATGCTCCGGTTTGAGTAGATTGTTAGGATTATCATATTATTTTAATAATATTTCTTTATAATTAGTGAACTATTGTTTATTTTTTTATTGATCAGGATGTTGTACTCAGTTCCCTTATTATAATATGAATTCCTCCTACTGCACGACAAATATTGAAATATCTTTTCATTTATGAGATTTTTTACATTTTATTATACCTGTTTTGTTCCCTTGCTTTTCGTTTAAATAGGCTTGTGTATGCTGCACGAATAACTCAACTGAATAGAGATACAGTTCTCGTGTAGTCTCTCTCTCTCTCTCTCTCTAAGAACCTCATATTAGGAGCCTTGTCCCAACTATCTTCTATTATTATGATAGATGCATGTGTATAGATAGGTGGATGTGGATTGAGGCTGTATTTTGTGTAGTTTTTGCATCCTTATCTTATTCTATGTGGTACTTATATCTGTTTGTATAGTATTCTGGTACCCATTCCTAGTCAAAAACTTT